AGCACACTCTGAGAAACATTTTGTTTTCCTCACATATCTTGTTTTGCTGTTTAGTGCCCCCCAGCTGCAAGGCATACGTGGTCTCCATGATGCAAGGCGCATGATGTAGTGCCTTCAGCTGTGCTTGTCCACGAGGGCAAGGCACGTGGTAAAGGGTATAAATACCCAGGATTTCCTTTCAATAGAGACTTGATCAGACTCTATCTTGTCTCCATTCTTCGTGTCTCTTGTCCCTCCATCCCCACACTATCTCTCTCTCTCTCTCTCTCTCTCTCTCTTGCTAGACCCTGACCCGTGGACCGGAGCAGCAGCTCGGGCCAGGACACCCACTGACACCCAAGGCTGTACCTGACATCAACTGTGATGTCTTCCATACAGGTCGGGCAGGAACAAGGGTCTTCAGATTGGCTTTATTACCCAAGGCAGGCTGAAGAGCGGTGGAAGTTGTCTTTGTGTGACACTCTGAGGTCATCTTGGTCTCATGATTATCTAGCTAACACAGAGCTGAGCTTGGGAGGTGGGCGTTATCACCCAGTGATATGATTGTTAGTGGGAGGGGCTGAGGTTGGAATCTTGTCTCTCTCCAGAGCCTTGTGGCTTGCAGACCTGGTAGTACAGCAGTTTTCAACCTGTGAGCCGTGACTCCTTTGAGAGTCGAATGGCCCTTTCACAGGGGTTGCCCCAAGCCATCAGAAAACACAGATATTTACATTACAATTCATAATGGTGACAAAATGAGCTATGAAGTACTGACAAAAAGAACTTTAAGGCTGGAGGTCACAACAACAACATGGGGGACTGTGCAGAGTCACAGCGTGAGGAAGGCTAGAACCTCTGGGTGGCAGGAAGTGCTTAGTGATCTGGGCCCTGTGACAGTGCACTCAAGGTGGGTTCTCTGTCCCGCCACACCTCCTACCTTTGCCTGCTTCTCACTTCCACTGGTTCTTTCTTTCTTGGTGTGTACACGTGTGTGCATGTGGAGGCAGAGGACAGCATCGGGTATCATTGCTCTGGTGCTATCTTTCGAGAATGGGTCTCTCACTGGGTCCTGGGGCTTGCTGATCAGACTGGTATCTGGTAAGACCCAGGGCTCCTTCTGTCTCTGCCTCCCTCATGCTGGAAGACACACACCATTATGGTTTACTTTTTCAGTGGGTGTTGGGACTTGAACTCTGGTCCTTATAATTACTCAGAAAACACTACCTATGGAGACAGCATGGGTGATGGCTGTTCCTGGTTCTCAGCTTGACTATATCTGGAATGAACTACAATCCAGAAATGGAAGGCACACCTGTGATCTGGATCTTGAGGCTGAAAGACACAGGCTTCTGACCCAGATCTTGACATGGGATGCCACATGCTTTTGATCTGGATCTCAAGACGTAGAGGCCATAGAAAGCTTAGGCCCAGGCAAGGTGGTGCATGCCTTTACTCCCAGGAGACAGAGGCAAGCAGGTCTCTGAGTTCAAGGCCAGCCTGGGACGGAGCAAGTTCTAAGTCAAGAACAGCTTTAATCTGGGCTGTACCTTCTTCTGGAGGTCCACATAAGGACAATGGAAGAAGGAAGGCTTCTTCCTAGCCTGCTTTCGTAGATGTACCTGCCAGCACACCATTGGAGCCTATTTTTTCAGGCTAGAAAACCAGCTGAAACACCCAGCCTCGTGGGACTGAACAACTACTAGAGTCTTGGACTTCCCTCTCACAGCTGCCCGTTGTTGGGTTAGTGAACTGCAGACTGTAAGTCATTCCAATAATTTCCCTTGATATGTATAGAGACATAAGTTCTGTGACTCTAGAGAACCCTGACTAACACAGCATGTCTGTGGGAAATTGTTTTTCTTGCCTTAAAGGACGTAGGAAGCCTGAGAGTAGTGGGCAGTGCCATTCTCTGGTCTGGGCCCTGAGTTGTCTAAGACTATTAAATGTACATGCCTTCCTTACTCTGCTCTTTACTGTGCATGTGATATGACCAGCTGCTTTGAGGTTTTGCAACTGTGAGTTTCTTAAAATGATGGGCTATCTATAACCTGCATTGGTAACTTAAAGCAAACCTTTTTCCTAAGGTGCTTTGTGTTGTGTTTTGAGACACCGTGTAGCCCTGGCTTGCCTGAAACTCTCTATGAAGACTGGTCTTGAACGCTCAGAGATCTGCCTGCCTCTACCACCCAAGCACAGGGATTAGAGGTGTGAGCTACCAGCTTGGCCTCTAGATTGCTTTTTGTCAGGACTTTTTATTACAGCCACAGAGATGAAACTAGGTTACAGGTGCACGCTGGGCTGGTCCCTGGGACGCACGGCCCTAGAAGAAAATGTACAACTTGGAGCACTGCTGGGGAATCTGTGGGCACGAGAAGTCATCTTGCCGGGTGTCTACTGGGTAAGGGCAGAAAGAGGTCACCAAGCATGGGGATGTCGTGGGGCACATCATGGAGCAGCAAGCTGCTTTTCCTGCAGTGAGAAGGTTAGCAACAGCTTGGGAGACAGGGAAAAGCACCGGGTAAGGGAGGCCTGGCTCGCCACATCCAGGGACTGAGTATGTAGATCCTACACGGCTGTGCTGGCCTGTGATCCCAGAACTGAGACGCTGAGGTTCAGACTCACAGTCTAGATGGAGTTGGGGTGCTGCGGGAGAAGAAGACGGGAGCTGGCATTCAGAGTGAGGTTGGCAGTCGGGTCAGGCAGGAGGGATGGATGGACAGGGAGAGACATGGCCGTCAGTGAGTACAGAGTGTTGTGGAGGGCCAGGGAGGGTCTTGGAGGGTCAGGGAAAGTGGGGAACACAGTGTGTGAGAATCAAACTGCCAAGGGTGAAAGGCTCTGATGGGAGATGGGTGTGACTTCAGGACTAGGAACTGTAACTGACCTGGGACATAAGGACAGAAGGTGGTGGTGGTAGGGGGGTTGCTCAGCCAATCAAATCAGGTACCCGTACCTCCTCAAGTATCTGTTGGCAAAGCATAAGCATGTGGCCAGTGACCATATCCTTAAAAGAAGGTTCTCCAGGTCTCAGCCCCACCCCCACCCCGGTGCCAGCCTGACTGGCCTCACTCACCCCTCCCCCATATCAGTGTGGAGTCAGTTTAGCAAACACAGGGGTTAAATGACTGATTCGTTTAATTTAAAACAGCAAGAGTTTGGGCTTTCACAGAGAGTTAACATCACTTCCAAAAAACTCTCATGCTAGGTTTAATTATGCCACAGCTGTGAGTTCACACAAACATTTGCAGAGGGGCTGGAGAGCTAGCGCAACAGGTAAGAGTGTTGGCTGTTCCTGCAGAGGACCCGGGTTTAGTTCCCTTTACCCAGAGCTCACAACTATCTGTGACTCCACTTTCAGAGGACCAGGCTCCCTCTGGCCTCTGAGGGCACTGCATACACACTAAGGTGTCCTTACACACGCAGAACACTCATACACATAAAAACAAAGACATGCTCTCATTGGTACTGTGAACTTCGGATAAACTACAGTGCTTTTTAAAAGCTGACTGGGGGTGGCATAGAACAGTAAAACCGTTTAAGGCCTGCCTGGACAACTAGTGAGAACCCTTTGTTTCAAAGCTTAAAAAACAAAATGGAAAGGGATGGGAAAATAGCTCGATAGCTAATGTCACACACACACACACACACACACACACACACACACACACACACAGTGCCTCAGAACAAGATTCACCAAGTGCTTAAGGGGGGGGGGGTGCGTTGCAAGGGCTGGTGCACCCATTAAGGCTGAGGTCACATTTGGGTGACTGACGGACACGGACAGACACATATTAATGACACTACCTAGTAGAGACGGTAACCCACCAGGCTCAGCAAGGCGAAGGGGAGCTGTTCACAGGCTCTGAGTCCCCTCCTGGCCCCAAGGATTCTTTCTTCTTTAGTTCTGAACTCTGGGTGCCCAGAAGACCCATTTGGTCACTGGCTGGGCTAAGCTTGATGTCTCTGAACTCACAGTGCTAGAGGCCAGGCACCAAGCCTCGGGTCCCCACCAGCCACCTGTGGTGACAGGGCAGCATGGGACACAAATGGGAAGAGCCAAGTGGAGACTTTGTAGAGGGTTTTGCGGGCAGCAAACCTGGCCAGTGGCATCAACCACCAATAAGAAAGCTTGGGTAAGCCCCAGGCTCCAGGACCAGGGCTTTCTGATGCCCCTCTGCAAGGCTTTCCCTGAGCAAGACCCCAAATAGCCAGGGCTCCACGGTGCCCTGTCCAGCTGGGTTTATCCCACCATCATTTCCTCTGTGGTATTTTGTAGCTTATTTTCTCCTCTACGGGAAACAAATTCCTAGCATTTCTGTTCCATTTTAGAAGTCAGGATATCATTACCGCTGTACGCTGACAGTGCACACATTGGCTGTGATATCTTTAAAGGACGCCCTACACAGACTGGCTTTGTAATCAGACAGACTACTGCCGAGGAGCTTTCTTTGATTCCCCAAAAGGGAACACACCTCTTGTAGATTTTCCTAAAGAAATGCTTCAGGAAACCAGAAAAGGAGTATATGGTCACAGCCCTCAGAACGAATATTACTTTCCTGATAGAGATGGGAACTGATGGCCCCATGTGACTCTGCTTTCATTTTGAGCCATTTTACCAGGCTCCGAGCATCCTCTCGGTTTTGTGGGAGTATTGACAGAATCCAAGGGCGCTGCCTCACCTTGACTGCAAGGTGGCGGGCACACTTCCCATCCGAGAGCCTGCGAGTCAGCACACACGGCTGTCTGAAATGAGGGATCTGTGGGTAGAAGAGCCTTTGGGTAGAAAGAGATGCAGGTCTCAGTTCTCTGCAGTTCAAGCCTTTCTAGCCAGGCTTCTCAGCCCAAGGCTACAATTCTAGCTTCCTGGGAAGTTGAGGTAGGAAAATCTCAAGTTCAAGACCAGCCTGGTTGACAGAGTTCAAGCCCAGTCTAGGCAACTTAGTGAGATTCTGTCTCAAAAAAAAAAAAGGGGAGGGGGGAATGGGATAGGACTCAGTGGTAGAGCACCTGCCCTAACAGGCACAAAACAAAACATTTTTTTTAAAATGTAATTATCAGGAGGCAAAGGCAGGTGGATCTCTGTGAGTTAGAGACTAGCCTGGTCTACATAGCAAGTTCCAGGCCAGCATGCCCACATGAGACCCATCTCAAAAAATAATAAAATATAATCATCTCAAAATCCTATTTCTATTTTTTCCAGATAACTACAAAACACAAAGGCCTTTTAAGGAATTTGGGTGCTAGGACCAACCTGGAAACTACACTGAGCTTACAGGCCAGCCCAAGGTTGAATCTCAAAATCATTTACCTTCCGGGTGGAATCAGATTCATTCACTAACTCTCTGGTCACCTTTCCTAAACAAGTGTAGAGCCGACCCCCTCCCCACTCACCCCTGTATGAGTCACCGTGGGGACAGGGTTCTGTGAGAACAGCAGGCTAATTGTCCTTAGGGACTGGAGCTGAGCCGTCTTCTGTCCTGGGAGAATGTGGCTGTTAAGCGATTGACTAATGGACAGGACTCTGGACTCTAGCCTGTGCTGAAATTCAGATGTAATAAACATTGAGGGGTGATGACCCACGCAGAGGCTCCGTGAGATGCCCATGAGTGTGTGCCTGGGTGGTTTGGATCAATGATGGCAGCCTCCTGTGACTTCAGTGGACTTGCGACCTAGTTTAAGGATATTACCCTGGGCTGACCAGGATTGCTAATTATCCCCAGGTCTCTAAGGATTCTCAGCACCCTGGCAAACCTGGACTCCATACTGTGCTGTCTGGGATCCAAGATGGCGTTCATTATTCAGTTATGCCTGAGGTGGGTCCACAGGTATGGATCCCTCCAACTGTAAACAGCGCTGGTGGCCGGGGACACCGAGAACCAGTGTCCTGGCAGTATCCTGCATAGCGGAGTCTCCCGTCTTTGTGCTTACACAAACAAACCCCACTGGACCGGGACATGAGTGTGCAAGGAATGCACTGCCTGCCTGTGAGTCTGGGAGGTAGAGGAGTCCACACCAATGGCCGTCCCTCCACCAAGCTTCACTAGGTGAGACTTCCAGTGTGCCTGGTCCCCGAATCCTGAGGCAGGATCAGGAAGGCAGTGCTCGCGTGCATACAGTGAGGAAAGCCAACTGTTCAAGTGCTGGGCACTTCTGGGGTCCGTCTGGATTCCTGAGATTCTCCCATCTTGGGGGGAGTAGGAGCCCCGGGAGGGCTCTGGGTGGAGGGCCGAGGACAGCAGCAGCAGAGAGAAAAGAGCCTCGTGCGGACTGCCCGGGTGCAGAGGACGAACATGATGCAGTTGGCCCCTCCCTGGAAGGTGTTTCCAATGCCCTGTGGGGGGGGGGGTGGGGAAGAGGCGTAAACACAGGGTGGGGGTGTCTTAGAAATGTAATCATGGGGAGTCAGTGGGCTGCTATGAATCTCATGACCTCGGGTCCCTGCCTCTAAACTGTCCTGGGATGAGTTCAGACACCTGGCCTTAACCAGAGCTCTGAACAGGTTTAAACTGGCCTCCTAGCCAGGACCTGCATTTAGGCTTTGTGCATTGAGAGGAACTCAGGATTAGTCAACCCTGCCAGGGCTTCTCTAGGTTACTGAGAACAAGGGGACACTCCTCACCTGCTTTGGGACAGGGACGGGACAATGAGCTACTCTGCTTCCCATCCTGGCTAACATACTGGGACCTGAGACGCATCTGTAGGGACGGGACCGTAGGGTAGCAGGGCCCACGGGAATAGACATACATGCAGAGCAACCAGCACCGGTGTCTGCACAGCTGGGGAGCCACAGAGGGTCAGGACGAAGCGCACGGTGCTCCAGACCCGGAGGCAGATGAATATGAGCGGAATCAGGATCAGCTTCTTATCAGCCGTGGAGGTGGAGGACCCTCGCTGCGGCTGGCGCCCCTCACAGATGGGCCGGTATTCTGAGAGCGCCTGGTGCTGTGTGGAGAACAGGGAGCAAAGACCGAGTGAGCTGGACGGGCCTCTTACCAGATCACCTATGCACGTCCAATGCCCACACCAGCCTCGGAAGGCAAGAGGCAGGCACTGTTGTCTTTTCCATTAGGACATGGGAAGGATTCGAGCCTTTCAGACCAGGAGCCCCCCCCCCCCCAATCTGCCAGCTCCCGGATCACACGCCCTGCCTACTCTGCATCTCCACAGAAGTGACTCAAAGCGTCTAGACCTCCACACACGATGAACAAGCTATCTTAGCCCTCAGGCCCGCTGCACATTCATCTCAGCTGAACGCACTTCATCCTTCTTCCAGCCACCCGTGTGACTAGGGAATCATTTTTTAGTCCTCTCTCTCCCGATCATACCTCACCTATGAGTCCCATCTTCAAATCCGACCCAGAATCTGGATACTCGGACCCACCACTAGGCATGATCACCATGTCTAATTTGTCTCCTTCCCATGGCAGGCTATCCCCAACACAGGTGGCAGGTTCTCAGATGTCAGGCAGGCTTGGTGAGCCCTCTGCTAAAAGCCCTTGGAGGCTCCATTTCAGCCCTTCCTTACAGGATCCCAGCTGGGTGAGCAAGCCGGGCTCAGTCTGACCTCCATCCCATGCTCTCCCGTGCTCACTCATCCAGCCAGGTGGCTCTCCTCCGACCCTAGGTCTCAGCCGGTCCTTGTATCTGAGAAAGCATTCCCAGTTTCCTGCAGTTCCCTCACCTTCAAGTCCTTAGCCAGTGTCACATCCAGAACGAAGCTCACAGCCAGCCATTCCACCTGTAGCCCTGACTCCATTGGCTTGCCATTGGCTGCTGTCTGTTTCCCATGGTTCTCTCGACCTCCATCCTCTGAGGTCATCCACCCTTGTTCCTCAGCTTATCCCCCGCCCCTCCACAATGCAAGATCCCCAGAATGCAGGCTTGCCCACAGGAGGGGCAGAGGAAGGTACGGAGACAGTCTTGGCTCTTGCATTCTTTAGGAATGGTTATCATGGCAGGAAAAATGTTCAGTTTCAAATCACAATCAAATCTGTAAAACCAACTGAGGTGACCAACGAGAGGTGCCGGTTTGAGCCTGTTCTGGGACGATGACACCCTGGTAAGGGAATAATATGTATAGCATCGCTGAGTGCCAACAATCAATGACTCATCTGATTAAGGGACTCCCTCCCTCCTCCCCAGGGGTCTGAGACAGCAGCCCGGGGAGCTGAATGCTTGCCTCACATAGCTGGGGAGGAGCAGGGCAGAGCAGGACAGGAGATGTGCTCCTCAGAGCTGAGCGTGCCTCCCGACTTATTCTCAGCTCTCCTTTCCCATCGCTAGGCAGGAAACGATCTATGTTCCCACTTCCCTGCCCACTTCATCTTCTTTTCTGAAAACTCTTGCCAAGTTCAAGAGGAAACTGTCACACGCAGAGACCAGCCTGGCAAACGGGGCTCCTGTCCTGCTCTAGAAAGGACGGAGACACAAGAGGATGAGGCTGGGTAGAGCTGGGGGCGGGGCTTTGTTCTCCAGGAGCTGCCCTTCATCTTCCCGGGCCAGTGGGAGGTGATAAGGGTATCCAGAAAGGCTTGGCCACTTGTCTGTGTGGTCATTGTTGGTCTTGTCCTCCAGCCAGGACTCCAGTGGAGCCAGTGAGGATATGACACAGGTGAGGAAGGACTAAATGGAGAACCGGGGTCTCAGAAGACACGGGTGTAAATGCTGTGCGGGGATGAGGTGCCCCAAGAACACAGATGCCTACAAGAAGTATCTGTCGGTCAGAAGTGGCTGCTCAGAGCCAGGCATGGTAGTCTTTAATCCCAGCACCGGGGAGGCAAGGGCAGGTGGATTCTGTGAGTTCAAGGCCAGCCAGAGCTACACAGTATAACTTTCAACAGTTCACCTGATTGTCTAAAAAGAGAGAGGGAGAGAGGGGGGAGGCAGAGAGAGAGAGAGAGAGAGAGAGAGAGAGAGAGAGAGAGAGAGAGAAATGAGCTGTTGGGTCAGCAGAATGAATCTACAGGCATGGGCAGCCTCGGTGATAGACTGTTTAAGCAAGCAGAGGCCCTGGGGTCTATCTCAAGCACTGAAAGACAACCCAATAAGACACATCCTCCTAGAGTTTCTGCCTTGAAAACTCAGGAGGTTAAAAGCTTAAAGTTTCTCCCTACTTGAGAGGCAGAGGCAGGAGAATCAAGAGTTTAAGGTTGTCCTCAGCTGTCCAGTGCCAGTCTGAGCTGCGTCAGACCCTGTCTCCAGGGCTAAGGGATATAGTTCATTCAATGGAGCGCTCAGCTAGCATGCACGAAGCCCCAGGTTCCAGCCCCAGCACGGCCAAACACGCTAGAGCATGCCAGTAACCCTAACACTTGGGAGGTAGAAGCAGGAGCAGAGAGTTTAAGGCCAGCCTGAACTACATGTTAACCCATCTCAACAAAACAAGACCTCGTCTCCAAAAAAAAAAGTTCATAAATACACGGCAGGAAATGGGGTTCTTTCTCACTGGCTGGAGTCTGAACCCAGCACACCTCTTTGGAAGCCATCACTGCTTTAGCTACTGACAAGTTTATTGGCTCCCATCTCTCCGAGGACAAACCTCCCGTTCTGGATAGATTTATGGTCTCCACAATTCTGATTGCCAAGGGTAACGAGGTGCATTATCTGTGGCTATCTCTATAGAAGCATCCTTGACTTTGATCTTAACTCCTTAGTGTAATTCCGGAGTTGGCCACACGGGAGCAGTGCAGGACCATGTGGAGCTATATTATCGCACTCGAGCACTAGTTTGGTTCTTCAGAGATACAGCTTGTCCCTTAGGGGCCACTGCAGTGGCACCTACCGCCCTGTTGATGTGCTTCCTGACCAAAAGGTACAGCAGAGGTAGCAAGATATAAGCCAGCATCTCCCACAGCTTCCCAGTCAGTAGCATCCACAGGACTCGGTCTTCAGCCTCCAGGTTGATCCAGCACCAGCCCACGGACACATCTGAGGCGTCGTAGCCTATCTTCTTTAGAGAGACGGCTGTCACCGTGATAGCCAACGGGACGCCCCAGCTGAAGAATAAAGAGAAAGAGAGGTGCCAAGGTTAGCTCATAACACCGCACAGTGTCGGCATGGACAAAACTGACTGGGGTCCTCCCTGAAGAGGACAGTGCTCCAAAAACCATCATCCGTGCTCCTGCAAAACAAGGGAGGGCAGCACTTGGTCAGGAGAAGGCCGGCTGGCCATCTCTAGCATCACAGAAACTGGGCATGTTGGTAAGTGCCTGTAGCACAGTGCTTGAGAGGTGAGACAGACCACTGTGAGATCCAGGCCAACCTGTACTACACAGTGAGATGCTAGCCTGGACTACAGAGTGAGACTCTCTCAAAACAACCTCCCAAATGACGCAGCTCAGTGGTCGAGATTACTGCTGCTCTTCCAGGATTCTAAGCACTACATGGTAACTCACAACCATCTGGGGCCAAGGGGACTTACTGCCTACCCATGGCCTAAAATCCCCGATCCAGACCCTGGGTTCCAACCCCAAGCTCCTCTAGGCTGCCAGGGAACTAAAGGAAGGTTTAATTAAACCTCACACAAATTCTGGTATCTGCAGACTGGTATAAACTGGTAACTCCAGTTTCGGGTGATTCAATGCCATCTTCTGGCACACACACGGTGAGCAGACAGACACACAGGCAAAACACTCATATTGAAAAAATAAAATGATTTAAAAATAAAATTTCAGTGCTCCTCAGAGAAGGTGTGGCCAGACGGTTCCAGCTCCTACATGCCCAGCTTTTCTCCTGGCATCCAGAGGGGCGAAGGCCAGTCTGCCAACATCAGCACATCTAGGTGTAAACACTCTAGTCAGTTTCTCAGTAACCCAGGGGAGCTTGAGGTTGCAGGATCTGGGAGAACCCAGGTTCTAGAATCACAGGCTATGCATAAATCCTCTTGGTCCTAAGGCCTCTTTTCTTACCTGGAGGAAGTGTAGCCTGGTAAGAGTCGAAGTGACCTCCTAGAACACCAGGCTGGCCAGGCTGGAGAGATGGCTCAGTGGTTAAGAGCACTGACTGCTTTTCCAGAGGTCCTGAGTTCAATTCCCAGCAACCACATGGCGGCTCACAACCATCTGATGCTTGCCATTTGGAGGACACTCCCACAGCAACACAACTGGAATTAGGCCCAAGTCCCAATCTCCTTCCCAGAATCCCTATCCAGTTTCCTTCCAAAACAGCTTCTCAGAGGGACACCTCCTATAGAGGTGACACATGGGTTGGCGGCTCTGACTTTGATGCAATGGGTTGGGTCCAGATTATCACTTTGTTGCCACCTGGGCAAGTTGCTTAGCTTCAGCCCGCCAGGCCAGCGTTCCCACAGGGTGGGGATGGTGACCAAGCCGTCTGAGGAAATCAGTATTCACAAAGCTCATGCAAGCCCAGGCAACCCACAGCCGCTGGCGGCCATCAAGGCTGTGATTAGAGCCAAGGCACGGCAGTGCGTGCCTGTAGTCCCGGCGCTTGGAAGGCAGACACTCTGGAGGCCAACCTGGGCTACACGGCTGTAGTGTTGTAATGTTATGGTGCTCATCAGAAGAGTGAAACGGGTGTGCATAGTGTGTGCATATATACATACATACATACATACATACATACACACACATGCATCATCCATGCCACAGATAAAATGTTCACATCCTTGAGTACATGAGCACTGTCTAGCCCTTCTCCTAAGGTCCCCAGCTGAGACAGGATTCTGCCAAATTCACTACTGAGAACCAGTGAACTTATTGGGATTCCTTACAGACCACAGGAGAGGGGTTACTGAGGCCATGGGCATTCCTCCTCTAAAGGCTGCATCTGTAAAGCCTTCCCTTAGCCAGTAGGAATGAGGACTTGCCAATGGCCACCTAGATAGATCCTGCCCCACCCCCATCTTTCTGGGCCTATGAGTACTCTACCTCTCCCCCAAGGCCAGGTACATGTAAGGCAGAGGTCCATACAACAGGCGGCTGGAAGTGGCTGGACACTTAGATGAGGGTCTTGTGACCTCTATGTCCTTGTGAAGAAATGTTAAAATGTTAACAGTCAACAGGTCTGGCTGGGGAAACCTCCATAAACAGGCTGAGAGGACAGGCTGAATCCCACAAGCTGCACTCTGACCTCCACATGTGTGCCATGGACATCCATGCCCTCCCTCACAAATAAATAAATATAATTTTGAAAAACACACATACACATACATACTTGTATTTCTATACCAAGTGCTCTGTGTGGCCACGCCCACACCGTCAGTGGACTTTCCCCAGGGACGCTTCGCTGAGCCCCGCTCTCCCCGGCTGGCCACAATCAGGAATTGAGAGTGATCTCAATCACACAAAGCAGCCTCACAACTTTTGTTTTCTGTAACATCTAAGATGAAAGTGAGAGGCAGGTCCCTAACCCCAGCACTGGGGAGGTTAAAGCAGGGGGATTGTCAGGAATCTAAAGCCAGCCTGGGCTATATAGTGAGACCAGTAGTGAAGCAATTGAGAACACAGAGAACAAGACACAGCCTGTAGCTTCCCCAGCAGTGACTAAGGGACGACCCCTTTGCTGGATGAAGGTACCAGAAACCTTCTGTGCTGCACACTGGCTTCCTCGATCTCTGTCCTCTGAACTCCACGCTGGATGCTCAGCTTCCTATCTGCCTGTCTCTGCCTCCACTCAGGGCTAACAACACTTTAAGCTTTATGTTTTAAAGATTTACTTATTTCATGGATATGCGTGTTTTGCCTGCGTGTATATATGCACACCATGTGGCAGCCAGAAGAGAATGCCAGATCCCTCAGAAGTGACGTCACTTACAGTTCAGGCAGCTGTAAGCCGCCATGTGGATGCTAGAAACCAAACCCAGGTCCTCTGCAAGAGCAGCAAATGATGCTCTTAACCGCACAGCCATCTCTCCATCCTGCCTCCACCCCACTGTTCTTCCCTCCTGGCTCTGGAGCTGGAAGTTCAAGGGTGAGAAGGTTTCTCTTGGGTCCTCTCTCCTTGACTCATAGATGGCATTGTCTCCTGGGATCCTTACAAACCCTGGGGAGCACAGCCCCTGAGTCCCAGGGACGAGCTAGAAGGGCCCAGAGAAGAGAAACCAGACACAATGACACTTGGCTTTTCCCCACTTAAGCCCTTCTGGGACCTCTCTATTCGTTGTAGTTTTAAATTCCCAGGGATATGAAACTAATTGTGCACAGGAAAGAGGCAAGCTACCCTCACACTAGGAATTCATATGATGGCCACAGGCAGGTGGTGGCTGTCCTCAGAATACCAATGTGCTGGATGCCCGCTCGAACCAGGCCCCTTGGGCATCCCAGCTCTGCCTGTCTGGGGAACTTCCGTTACAGAGTAGAGCACTTTCTGTAAGGGCATCCCTCATCCGCTTCACAGAGTTCTGTGGAGAAGCTGCTTACTGCTTTCCAAAGAGCACCTGAAGCCTGTCCCCAGGCCCAGCCTCCTATGTTGTAAGCCGGCTCCAGAGATCATTTGTGCCGCCAGCCCCTCCCACAACCAGATCCCTCTATTTCTCAGTTCCTCCAGATCTCTGGAGTTTGGCAACTGCTGAGTAGAAAACAAAGAGGGGGTCTTCCTTCACCCCTTCTATGCGCCAAATGGCAATTTCTGGTTTAAGGACTCAGTGGCTGTAGAAAGCCTTAAATGTTAAAAGAATTGGGGGGTGGGGTGGGGGATAGAGGAAACTCTAAGGCAACAATGTTTCAGTTCACAAAAGCTCTGGGGAGGAGCCAGCGGGAAGCCGCGCTGAACAGAGTAGAAGTTGCAAAGAGACAGCTTCCCCAAGACAATGGCCTCCCATTGTCCCTCTCATGGGGCAGAGCTGGGAGAGGTTCATGGGGTCAGTCTCTAGGAAGGCCGCCTTGAGGTCATTCTGTGGCTTCAGCTGTGGGAGGGGGAGGGGCGTCCTGTGCAATGCACAACATACCTGGTGATACTCTACTCCTCAGCAGATGGCCCTGCACACCTAGGTCCTGGCCATACTGGCCTGAAGAAAGATAAAATCTGCTTTACACTTGGAAGGATCAAAGCCTCTGGGCCCTTGCTCTGGGTTTCCCACTGCTAAGACTTTACCATATTACCTTGAAAAAAAAATAACCTTGGGTAGAACAGACAAAACCCAGCTCCAATTGGGGGCACTGAAGCCCTGGAGTATTGCTCAAGAGGCGGCTGCTCAGACGTTGCCCCTGTAGAGGGAATCATGGCTGCCCTGTACTTCCTACCCAGTGCCTTCCCTAAGCAGCTAAACTGTTAACTTGCAGCAGCTCAAGGTAGGGTGGGGCCATAGGATTGGCTTCCTGAGTTACACTTTCACTTAACGGCTAACCAGAGGCTGCTCTGTTCTAAGCACAGAGACCGCCCCACTCTCGAGTCTAAAAAGTAAGGAATTGCCTTTTGTACTATGAGTTGCGATCTGAACTCCTGTCTCAGCCCCCCTCCGCCCCCTGCCGCCCGCCGTGAACTGGTGGTATAAAAGGTTATTTCGCCTGCAGTCCACTTTATCAAATCCTCTCCCCCCGACACCTGGAAAGTATCTTTGTTGTGGAGATGAGCAGTGCATGATGGGACATGACTTAAATCATGACGGCACTTCCAAGGCAAGAGGCAGGCAGGTTGGTCTACAATAGGGAGGAGTTCCAGGCCCACCAAGACTATGTAGTGAGACCTGGCTAAAACAAGAGAAAAAGAAAATGTGAAGATTCTTTCGTAGAGCCTACTCCTCCCTTATCAGTGCTCGTAATAGCTCTAAAAGCCCCCGTCTGCAGACACCAACAACAGCAATGGCATCTGGGAGGTGAGAGAGAGAAGCCTGACCTTAATTCAAAGCCAGTCATTTGGGCTACACAGTGTGTTCTGGGCCAGCCGAAGCTACACAGTGCTAGACCTCGGCTAGAACAAAAGTCAAGATGGGTGTGGAGGATCACTCCTGTAATCCTTGCACTTGGGAGGTGGAGGCAGGAAGATCAAGAGTTTGACCGCTCATGGGGCTACACACCAAGTTTGAGGCCAGGTGTAGCTGAGAACCAGTCACAGAAAACATAAACAAACAGATTCTCTCTCCCCATCCACCCCACCCCGACTCTAGCAAAAGTCTTAGGACACTGGGACACCGCAGGAAGAAGCCCCAAATCCAGCTCTGCCCTTGAGTTCGTGGCAATCCCCCTGCTTCAGCCTCCTAAGTGCTGGGATTACAGGGATGCACTACAATGCTTGGTGGACCTACCTTTATAGTATGTTGGGACATTCGATTCCCCACAGAGTTTCTATATTCAACTTGAGACACAAGTCTCTTTCTTCTCCATCACCCAAGAGGGCGCCAGAGGCAGGTGAGCATGAGCAGGCAATTCAGCTGTGGTCACATTCACTCAAAGACTGCTGGAGGCCAGTTCAGTCAGACCCTGACCTCTGATCCTTGGAGATAACCCTCACATCCCACCCTCACCCACAGGACTCATGTTGACTCTGGAGCCCTTGCCAAGGGGAGGGTGGAGACAGCTTCATGGTTATCTCTGTTGCTATGAAGGAAGGGTGAGTTCAAGACGCCCCCCCTCCAGGCAATTCCAGCCCTGGCCACAGGTGGGCGTAACCAATGACCACAGAAACACATTCTTTTTGTTTTGTTTTGTTTTTTCGAGACAGGGTTTCTCTGTGTAGCCCTGGCTGTCCTGGAACTCACTCTGTAGACCAGGCTGGCCTCGAACTCAGAAATCCGCCTGCCTCTGCCTCCCAAGTGCTGGGATTAAAGGCATGTGCCACCACCGCCCGGCCAGAAACACATTCTTATAGGTCCACAACAGGAATGGTCAAAGATGAAGCAGAGACTGGAGAAGGAGCCTGGCTGAAAGCACTTTCTGCTCCTACAGAGGACCTGGGTTCAATACCCGGCTCCCACATAGTGGTTCACAGCCATCTGTAACTCCAGTCCCTGGGGACCCAACACCATCCTTGGGCACTACACACATGTGATACATGATGGCAAAACACCCATACAGAAAGGAAAGAGAGACAGAGAAACAGAGAGAGAGAGAGAGAGAGAGAGAGAGAGAGAGAGAGAGAGAGAG